TTTTTATGTTATCCTTTCCAGAAGCATTGTATTGAGGCATAACTGCACAGTTCTAAGATTGTGTCCCTCCCCAGTGTTGTCCTTCCTCTGGCAGTCAGTCACAATGGTCAGTCTGCCCCTGAGACCATCAGCTCCATGAAAGTAGACACAGTCCCTGTTTGAGGCTGCATTCTGAATGCTAGCACAGTGCCTGGTGCACAGTAGGCAGTTAATCAATACTTGCTGATTGAGTGAGTAAGGGAATCAGGGGATAATAGAGAGTGAGTGTGATAAAGACTATGGGGAATAAACCACTGGGGACTTTGGGATGTGGACTTGGTGGGTGTCAGAAGTCTTGGTGGGTGCCCCGTTGCCCATGGGGAGTTCATGTTCCCCACCATCCACTGTGCTCTGCCTCTACAAGTTCATGTGCCCCCTTTCTCTTCTGTCCTCTAGCCATGCTTCTGGGGGTTCCTTAAGAAACTTTTTTCTTTCATGCCTTTCTCCCTTTGCCTGGAAACCCTTCCCCATTTCCAGATGCTGCTCAGAAGCCACTCACCTGTGAAGCTTGTTCTCTCAGGCAGGCTTAGTGACTTTGTGCTGTGTTCCCACTGATAAACAAGAACTCTGCCTCGTTTGTTCATATGTCCTTCACCCCGATAGAGCAAGAGCACACTAGTGGTAAGGGCCCTGTCTCATAGATAGGCCTTCTCTGGGTGTGAATGAATGAACAAATGAACAGATAGATTGACAGACAAGTTCAGGAGTCAGAGTGGAATTTTATTGTAGTTGTATAGGTGTAAGATGTTGTAAACCTTGGTTGGGGTGGTGGCTTTGGAAAAGGAAAAGAAAGAAGAACTGAAGGCCTTGGTAAATGGGATGTGGAGCCTGAGGGAAGGAAGAGTCACAAGATGGTGGCCCTGCCAACAGAAGTGGGGAAGCCAAAAGAGGAAGCTGGTTGAGGGAGGAGGAAGGGTCATTTGGTCTGGATATGTGGCATTGAAGGGCTGTGGATGGGATTTCCAAGTGAGGAGATCCAGCTGACAGAGTAGGTGTCAGACCTAGAGCCCAGCAGAAAGCTGGGGCTGGAGATGGCGATGGGTTGCCATTGGCCTAGAAATGAGAAGGGGTCAGTTCTCCAAGGGTAGAGAGCAGAGGACTAAGGCCTGGGGTCCAAGTGGGTAGTCCACACTCATAGGAGGCAGAAGAAAGAAGGGCCAGCCTAAACCCAAGGGTGCTCAGAAGTAGCACCTGCATGGTCATGGGGCTGAAGGCTTTGAGAAAGTCCCAACTGCAGAGGGCCAGGAGTGGGAGAAGGAGGCCTCTGGCTGTGGAATAAGGCAGTTTTGGGGGGCCTTTGGGGCAGGTTGCTTCTCTGGAGAGGAGGATCAGGAGCCAGGCTGTAAGCAGGCAGAGTGTGGAGTACACAGGGAGGAAGCTCAGGTCCAAGGCTGGCTCAGGCCATTTGTATGGGAAAGGGAGGGAGTACTGTGGGGACCTGTGAGTCACTTCCCCTCCAGGGGGAGGACTGAGAGCCTCTGAGTGGTGGAGTCTGTGTGTCCCATGGAGGGGGCATTCTAGTTACTCACAGGAATTTCCAGCCAACTGGGGTGGGGTGGTGTAGAGATGCTTTGGATGTTTAGGGTTTAGGGGAAGAAGTGGCTGTCGATCCCACCAGGCTGGGTAGGGACATAAGGAATGGAGATGGGGATACCCTAGGACACTTCTAAGGACACTTCACATTCTCTTGGGTCAGGAAGTGGCACAGGAGGGGCCCATGGAGTTTTAGGCCCTTCTCCCATACCACCAGCTTGTCTGACGTGTGGGCAGCCCATGCCATGCACTTGGAGCCTGCAAGGCGGGACACAGAAGAACCTGTGGCACAGGGCCCTGAGCTGGCACATTTGTGCCCTGGGGAATGCCAGAGCCTCTTGTTCCCAAGCCCTGGGAACAGCCTCACCCTCCCAAACCAAATGAGGAATTGTGGCTGAAAGGGCCCTTCAGATGTACCCTGGCTATATATAACCAAGCCAGGGCAGGGACAGGGAAAAACTAGGGACTTGGGGGAGAGGTGGTGGTTGGGGTGGGGTGGTGTGTGCCTCTGCTGAGTCCTAGTGGGACAGTTCCCTGACCAGGGCCTGTCAGCCTTGGGGCCCCAGAGAGCCCACCCCAAATTCCCTGGTCTGTATTTCAGCTTTGGTAATGGGATGGATCCTGTCTCTGGGGAGAGCAGGTTCTCTGCTACTAATAGAATGGCAGGAGCCCCACCTAGAGCTCAGAGCTTCCACTGAACTTTTTAGGGGGTGGGGAGAGGAAACCACATCCATTCTCTTCCTTTTCCCCTTTAGCCCTCCACCCAGCTTGGAGGCTCAGCAAAGGGCCCTGTTCTCAGCTGAGGTGCCTGGTGGGGCAGAGAGGAAATGGCACCACATGGGCCCAGGATGGTGCACAGTTTACCTCCCTTTGTAAACATCCTCAGCGCTTTGACTCTTTGCCCTGTGGCCATACAGTTGTCACCTGACAGGGAATGTGATATGTGCATGATGATGGTCATAGACATGTGAGGCATTGATAGACAGCCTCGGACACTGCATCACCTGGTTGGTGGCATCTGTTATGCAGGTTTACAAACATAAGTGGTGAGTTAGTAGTGTGTGAAGCTGAATTTGACTCCAAGATGCCAGGTCCAATGAGGCAGTGGGGCAGAGGGAACATTCAGGGCCCCCCCCCCCCCACCTCCTGACCTTCCCTCAAAGAAACAACCAGCTGCAAGAAAAAAGGGCCCCGTTTGTGGGCCTAATTCAGGGCACAGATGTGGTTCATTTAGACTGCACCATGTTTTTTTTAAAAAGTCAATTATTTGACATTTTAAAATCAGGAGATTTCACCTAAGACTTCAGATTTCGAGCTTCTCTTGCACAATCAGATCAGGCAGCCTTGAGCCTTCATTTCCTTTGGCAGCCATCAGCCAGAGCTGGGTGGTGGTTTCTTCCTTCACCTGGTCCCCACCTGGTTCACTTCACTGACCTTTGCCCTGGATATTGTGTGGTGAAAGAGCTTTTTCCCTTCCTGGTGCCGCCCCTGTACTCCACCCCCGTGAGAGCAGGTGTATGTGCATCTCAGGGGGCAAGGCTAGGGGACACGTGTGTGTGCTTCATCTTCTGGTCAATTTCGTTTCTGTAACAGTTGAAGCAGCTCAGGGAAGCGTGCTGGGAGTAGGCAGGGCCAGCGATGCTACCTGTTCTGGGTTATGTGTGCCCTTGCCTTGTAGAATGGCTCTGTTGGGCGAGGGGACACTGCTTCAAGGAGGTATTGCTCGTCTCAGCAGCACCTGTGAGTGGGAAGGTGGCACCTCCGCGTCCAGGGTGTCCGGCTGCACGTGCTCCTGTTGGGCAGGTCAGGCCTCTCTTACAAAGCCTTGTTCACCCAGCCGTGGTGGGGACGGCAGCTGTGGTTTCTCACCAGGCCTGGGTCTCCCCCTCCGCAGAGGTGCTGGAGCCTGAGGCCAAGGTGCGAAGGGGGCTAGGCCTGCAAGGATCCCGCGTTGGCTCCGGGGGCTGGCTGTGCGGGGAAGCTGCTCTCCCGCTACCCCTGCTGGGCTGGGCTCTGCGAGGAGTTGTAAATAAAGCCTGTCTCCGGGCAGCAGACCTCCCCCTGCGGCCGCCCCCTCCCTCCTCCGCTGCAGAAGCCGCCGCCAGCCGCTTGCCCGGTGACCACAGAGAGGGAACGAACGGCTCCACCTCGCAAGTCAAGACGTGCATTTCCTGTGTATTACGAGCAAACGCGAACCTCAGAGCCCAGAAAGGGCGGGCTTTGGGGTGGCCGGGGACGCGGCGGCGGGGCTCCGGGACCGAGCCCGGGGAGCCGAGTGGAGGACGGAACGGCGGACCCTCTTTTCCATAAAACCCCCTCCTGCGGAAAAAAA